ACCCAGGATCAGGCCCTGGGGTGATGAGGAGCAGGAGGAACCTGCTGGGAGCACGAAGGATCAGCCCCTGGGGTGATGGGGAGCAGGAGGGACCCACTGGGAGCATGAAGGATCAGCCCCTGGGGTGATGGGTAGTGGGAGGGACCCACTGGGAGCACCCGTGACCATCAGGAGGGACCTGAAGTGAGACCCCAGGACTGGTCCCTGGGGTGGCAGGGAGCATCAGGGACCTGCTGGAACCCTGGCCACCCACCCATGTGCGCCTGCCTGGCTGGCTCTCACCCACCCAGGTACTCGGGGGTGCCGCAGGGCTCCTTGATGAGCCCATTCTCCAGCTTGGCCAGGTGGAAGTCGCTGATGACGATCTTGGAGTTTTTCAGGCGGTTATAGTACACCAGGTTCTCCAGCTGCTGGTGCAGGAGCTGTAAGCACCGGAGTGGGGGGCACACCAGCACCCATGGGTGCTGCCACCCCCACCACCACCCACCTTGAGGTTTCTGTGGACGATCTTGAGGGAGTGCAGGTAGGCAACAGCCTCCAGCACCTGCCGGATCACGTTGCTGGTATCCCTCTCTGAGTAGTAACCCTGGTCTAGGATCCAGTCGAAGACCTCCCGGCCGGTGGCTCTGCCAACAGCAGTTCTGCTGAGACCCCCCCACCGGCGGGGGCACGCCCAGCCATCCCTGCTGCACCCCCCAAACTTACAGCTCCAGGAAGATGAAATACTCCTTGCGGGTGATGTAGACGTCCACCAGCTGCAGGATGTTGGGGTGCTTCACCCTGTGGAGAGACAGGGGCATGGGTGGGGATCCCTGCTTTGCCCAGCAGCAGAGGATCCCTCCTAGGGCCAGCACTCACATTTTGAGGATGATGATCTCGTTTTTGGCTGCCTTCCGCACTTTCCGCCCATCCCGCTTCAGAAACTTCTTGCAGGTGTACAGCTTCCCTGTCATCTTCTCCTTGGCCCGGAAGATTTCACAGAATTCCTCCCTGCAAGGGTGGCTACAGTGGTCACCCCCCCCCCCCCCCCCGGTCCACTGAGCTTGGGGCACTCGGGTGGCCCCCAGGCCCACCAGCATCTCCCCCGTCTCAGCGGCGAGGGGAGATGCTGTGGGGGTGGAAGGAAGCTGCACCTAAAAACCTCTCCAGAGCAGAGGGGAACAATAAAAAGGCAGTGAGAATGAACTGATATGGAATAAGCAAATTGACAGGGAAGGGGGAAAATTTGCTGATTAAAAAGCCCGCTCCCCGCAGCAGCTGGGGTAGGACCCACTGCAAAGCTGCCTGTGCTGAGGCAGAACAGCAGTATGCCCTGACATTAATGTCAGCGCCACGGTCGGGAAGAAAGAAGGGGAGACGTGCTGGTGGCCCAGGGATGCTGCAGTATTTCTGTTCTATTAATAATGGTGCTCGAGCCCATCGGCCAGGCAGGAGCCATGGGGGAACCCCTGGGGGGGCACCTGGCACCATTCCAGCAAAGCCTTTGGCTTTCCAACTCCCCTGGCTGCACCAAAATCCTTGTGGCCACTGCCCTAGGTGCAGGGGAACTGGGACCCATGGGTTTTGGGACAGGCTGCTTGGAGGATGGAGCAAAGCTCTCAGAGCACCCAAAAAGGTCTCCACTGCCACCCAGTGTCACTCTGCCAGGTGTGACCCACAGCCAAGCAGTCCTGGTGTTTTGGAGGCTGCTGGAAAAATTTCTGGTGCATATTTTTGGGTCAAACTGCTCTCAACAGGTCTGGGGGCTTCATTTTTTTTGAGTGCTTCCTAACAGGTCCCTAATTGGGTTTCCCCCCTCCAATTGACATCTGCCCTTTCCTTTGCCGGAGCAGAGCCCCCCTGCTCCCCGGAGTGCGCAGAGGAGCCGGAATTGTGCGGAATTGCTGCAATCCCTGCAGATCTTGGGGGGAGGAGGGAGGGATATGGGGAGCTGCTTGGCTGCAGCCAGCAGCAGCGGGGAAACCTCACTGCCCTCCTCAGAGCCTGCAGTGAATACCCCCACACACCTGTCAGCCATAGGGACTGGTTAGGGGACAGCCACCCCGAAACACGCCCTGCCTGTCCCAGCTGGGGACTGGCACCCCAAAAGCCCCCGTGAGCAGTGTTGTGCTGCTCCTCAGCCCTGGGCACGCAGGGTTGGGGTCCCCGGGGCACCCCTGGGGCCGGGGAGGGACCAACTCACGTTTTGATGACCTGACCCAGGTCATATCTGTCGGTCACCTCGGACGGCTGGTTATAATCTTTCTTGTCTCCCAGTGTCACGCAGCCAAACGGCATCGCAGGGCCCGGTGCTGGCAGGGCAGGGAGAGGCAGTGAGCACACCAGCACTGCCAACCACCCTGAAGCCACACCAGCCCCCTCCCGAAGCCATGCAAATTAACGTAAATCCTGATGAAGTGCCGTGGCTTTTTTTTTGGCTGCCGCAAGCCACCACATGCCCATCCCTGTGGCGTCCAGCCGCTCTGCCTGGGCTCAGGCCAGCAGCACAGATGCAAGCTGGCCCCTCCAGCCCTCGTTTGCAGATCACTAATGATTTATTAGGTAGCCAGGGCTAGCGCAGAGCCCAGGGCACCCGCTGGGGAGGCAAGTGGAGGCGAATGGACCCTTTCCCACTTCTCAGCCCAGTTTTGCCTCATAGTGACATTTCGGTAGCCAGGGCTCCCCCAGACGCAGCACTGTCACATGCTGTCACATGGGCAGCAAGTTACAGCAGCCTCAGGTTCCCGTCCCTTCCAGCCCCAACAGTCCCACTGCAGCATCGGGCAGGTGGGCACCACAGTTCGGTGGTGCCGGCCCTTCTGCCGCGGGCAGTAGGCAGGACACCAGCCCTGGCATGTGCCAGCTCCTCTGGCCCTTCAGGAACATTTTGCCCCTTGCTTTGCTGCCGGGAACCCTTTGAAACCAGACCCTGCCACAAAGCTTCCCAGCAAAAAAATGGTGCCATAAAGTGACTTTTTTTCCTTTTCCCACTTCATTACTGGGAGGAAGTTTCAGTTGACATTATTTTCGGATGGTTCAGAAGGAGACAGAGCTCCCTGGGTCCCCCTAGACCTCTCGGACGGGCCCGAGAGGGACCCCATGATGGAATGCTGGCACAATGCTGGAGGCACCCATCACCTGCTGCTAAAGCTCCTGAAACACCACACTGTGATGTGCCGGCCTCACTGTGCAGCACCGGCAGTACCTGAGGCCCGGCAGCGAGGGCTGCGGGAGGATGGCAGTGCGGGATGCAGGAGCCGGCATCGCGGGTACCCAAGCTCCGAGCCTGTTGCTATGGCAATGGGAGCTGGAGATGCAGAAAGCGGCACATCCTTTGGAGGGGGCAGGGATGGGCAGCACCAGGCAGCACCCGACCCACCTGCGGATGTGCAGCCCTGTCCCCACTGCACAGGCCCTGGGAGGAAGGTGGTTCTGCCCACAACACCCAGGGCATGCACCTAAGCGCTTCCTGGGATGATTGACCCCAAATCTGGGTGGGATGTGGGTGCAGCAAGCTGGGAAGCAGGGAGATGCTCTTTCGTGCCTCCATCTCTCGGGGCTGACCTGCCTCCATGCCTGCCTGAGCAATGCCTACAGGATAGGTGCTCCCAGCTCACATGACATGTGGGCACCTTCCTGCCAGGAAAGCCTATGCCGGGCAAGAGCACCCGTCCCCATCCCGCTCAGGGTGCCTCCACTCCTGAAAGAGAAGCAGAGCACCCATGGGACACCCTTCCCCACATTGCAGACCAGGTCAGGCTTTCCAGCCCACACTCAGCTCATCTCAGCTGCATCCCTGGCAAACGTGCCCTGCCTGGTGCTGCCGTGTCCCCATGCCACATGACGCTGGCTCTGCCATG